GGGGGGCGGCGGGGGTGTTGGTCTTTGTTTCCATCTGTGACAAAATTGGGCTTTGTTTGTGATGAAGAGACTTTGCCGAATTTGCAACTTTGCTCCCCTTTTTTTTTGTCTTCTTGAAGTTTCAAACTTCAATTTTGTCACACAGATGGAAACAAAGATACTGTGACGAAGATACTTGGCGTTTTTTTTTGGGCGGGGGGTGTTTGAGTGAAAACAGAGCTTGAGAAAAGGGGCCAAAGACTCGCCGGAGAGCATTTCCTGTTCCTTAACTTAGAGGTCTTCAGACATTGTCACCCCCAAGAGCACCAGATGTTGCTGCTTCACCAAGAGTTACATCCGTTATGCGAAAGGCACAGGATCTGTGCTTGCTACAAAGGTGAGTGAGTCAGTCATTATGGTCGTGTCGGAGGCAATGGCAGATGTAACGTTGCCGATGGAGCCTGCACTTTTCCAGATACGCACAGATCAACAAAGTGCGTCGGTCATGACAAGATAGCGATCACAGATGCAATGTATGGGCTTCTGTGTCAGCCGCAGTTGTTGCATACCCCAACTTTGTTGATCTGCCGATGTCTGGTAGGCATTAAAACTTAAAAGGTAAAACCACACGAGGGAAAAAAGAAACACACACACACACACACACACACACACACACACACACACACACACACACACACACACACACAGAGACAGGTATCCCAAGCTCTGTTGTGTGCACATCCACACCCCATACGAAGGACGTCCTTATTATGCCGGTTGCGGTTCTTTCGCAGTTCAATCATTCAATGCTGTCTATGAAGGTGTGTTTGTTCAGATGACGATGATGGTAGGGAATCAAGGGATGAAAACCGGAGCAAGGGGGACGTTGACGACCATCTACCCCTGAATAGAGGGGCACGGGCATCACTGGTGTATTGAGGGTGACTTTGGGGTCAGGTACAGCTGGCTATAATGACAATGCAGTCTATATTCGGTTGAAGGAAATGTTTGGCTCCGAATGGCGGCAGCAGAGCGAACTGGAAAGGCCTGGACCCGAAGCAGGAACTGTTGCCTTCCCAATATGGTGTGCGATTCTTTCGCCTTTTGCTAAAGGCAAAAGAATAGCACACCAGCACACTTATAAAAACACGAAAAGGCATGGTCAGGACTCAGGTTTTTACTGTCAAGGTCAGATTGTAACTGTTAGTTGCTCCATTTGTTCTCAGCAATTTTTGTTACTGTTAGTCGTTCTGACCAATTTGTTACTGTTAGTTGTTCTGAGCAATTTTTGTTACTGTTAGTTGTTCTGACCAATTTGTTACTGTTTCTGACCAGTTTTTGTTACTGTTAGTTGCTTCTGACCAATTTTTGTTACTGTTAGTTGTTTCTGACCAATTTTTGTTACTGTTAGTTGCTTCTGACCAATTTTT